AAAAATAGTAAAATATCGATGACTAATTTTTATAATTTTTATTAAAATAAATTGATAAAAATTTTAGATATAAAAAATTTATTGAATCGTTTAAACTTAAGATCAATTTTATAGAATATGTAAGTTTTGAGAACTAAAAGTATTATTATATGATATCATATTATCATTTTTATTAAATTAATATAAAATAAAATATCAGGATACCAAAATAAAAATAAAACATAGTGTTATAATTTAATAGAAAATAATAAATTTTTTTGAATAATATAGAAAAGAATAATTAAATGACAAACAAAAACACATAAATAAATAGGGTACCAAATAGATAATTTATCCTTAATTTTGTAAAACATTCACATTAAAACGGGCGAGTGCAATAGCGACACGGCACACATTATTCTCCTAAAGAGAAGAATATTTTTGAACAAAAAATGAGAGAGAGAGAGAGAGAGAGAGAGGAGGGGGACTACTCTTTGAATATTTAATTGTACTCAACCATGTGCATTATTTTGAAAGTAAAGGAGGAACTGTGACAGAGACGCTCCATGAACAGTGTTTATAGAGAGCACAGTGATTGGTAGTTTGGTACACTGAGCCTGCAATTTCTATTTTGAATTTACATTTCTTTTACCGTCGGATTCCATTTTTTTATAGATACCAAAGGTTATCTTATGGAACCGTATATGACATTACGTCGTGGAGTTATGGCATGCAGGAACAAATTCCATATGCACTATTTTGCTTCTATTTTCCCTTACTTGCATTTAAATGAAACAAATTTACAAAAGTCATCAAAATACCTACACAAGTATATTTACATACAACCTATTTCTACAGATTCCCCCTGAAATACGGATCGCTCAAGAAAGGGTTGGAGAATGTACCGCCACCGTTCGGGAAAAGAGTGAGCAAGCATATGAGACCTAGAACAATACCCCAAGCAAACCTGTTATCTCCCAGGGGCGTGATCTCATCTTTCGCCGGCATTTCTTCTCCTCCGCGGAAGAAGGTTGCGAACAATCCCCATGACAAGCAGAGGACACTTCCGCTTAGACCGCCGATGCCAAGGAGAAGGGATGTGGAGAATGACAACAATGTTGCAGTACTTCGTCCAAACATTGCTTGAGCAATTCGGCCACCTTCGAGTCTTCCACAGGGCAACAAGTTCAAAGAAGTCACCACCATTCCTGCAAATTAAGAATGGTCAAACGGTCAATTGTATTTGGCCGCACGAATGGTTCATTCACTATGAGTTAGCTTAAGGTCATTGTTCTCAAATCCATTTGGACGACCAATTTGTGCTGTCCTGAAGGGGAAGAAACTTACCCAAAAGTCCAGCAAAAGCAAGGGGATCAACAGGAACTCCGACCCCTTCCACGGCATTTGGTAATACATTTCCGAGCTCATCTGCGTATGGTCCGATAACATATTGGATGAAAGAAAGCAGTGGATTATTGTAAAAGAACTGAGGCCTTATGAACCTGAAATATAAAGACCGGTTTTCATAAGTACATTCAAACCAGACTGATTCACATCAGATTAAGGAAATAAGCTGACAATGATCCACGGCAACACAAACTTTCCCAACCATAGAAGATAACACACACATTGTACATTCACTGTTGTTGTTTTAGTGTTTGTGAAAACGGTATAACAGAGAACTTACAATGCATTATCGCCACCGTTAAAGCTGCCATCAGATATAAAAGCAGTGATTGCAAGAGCCAGTGACGCCAAGTAAGCGCTTGCCGTACGCGCCACCGGAATATCAAAAAGAGCCTTCTTATTCGGAAGCAATGATTCATAATTGTTCATTACACCCAAACAGCCAGTCCAATTCGACGGAACAAGAAAAGAAGGGCTGAGTTTAACGCCATAATGAGCAGCAGTCACCCTTGTGACTATCTACCAAATACGAAATACACTCTCTTGAATAACTAGGAGAATAAAAACTTAGCAAGATCATAGGATGCTTGCCCAGTAACCTCTTCATTCGGATTAAAAGGAGTGGCCATACAGAAAGTCAAGGCATACCTCAGAAACTCCCAAAATGGAGACAAAGCCACCGAAGAGAGGCAGGACATCAGCAACGTAATCGTCAAACGTAGCACCGGGTTTCAGGAAGAATCCGCTCATTAAAGCAATGGTCCCGAAAGTGGTAACACACAAGGCTATTGCACTAACATATCCCCAGGGAGTGCTCAGCTTGGTAGACTCAAATTGGAGATCGATTTCAGCTTTAGGTTGCACCACACATGCCTTGAACCACAAGAACAACTAAATTTAGGCTCTGGTAGACAAAAGAAATACATCTTATTCCAAAAGCATAAATACAAATGTCGGCTCATGTTGAGTTACCTGTTTTGTAATATCGTTTGTTTTTTCCTCCATGAACCATAGGACGACTTCCCTGCCCGCTGCATCGGTTAGCTTTCTCTCGAGTATGGGAATGACTTCTTCAATCGGTCTCCTCAAATTCCCGATGAAAATCCCTCCATCTCCGAATCTTCGAGCATCCGTTGCGAAAAAAGTATTGAATCCGAAACAGCTCTTCAACTGATATTAAAACATCAAGCACAAGAAAATAAGCCGTAAATGTCCTTCGGCGTGCTCTAGATCTTAGTCTTTAAGTGATCGATAAACAAACAAGCAATTTATGAAATACATTTAATTCAAACGAATAAAGAACGAGATGCATATCAACAATATTCGATCAAACAATCAACATCAACCATGTTCGAATGTCCGAATACTCAAAAAATGAAAAGTTCGAACGACAACCTTTGGTGAGCACAAAACATACACAAATCAGCTACCAATTGCTTAATTTTCTGTAACTTTTTCATATATTTAGAGATCATATCATATAATCTGGATAGCATAGCACAAAATGTAAGCAAATAGATAAAATAAAAGGTACTCAGAGTTCATAATGAAACTCGACACTTCAAAATCTAAACAATTTCTCACCTTATTAAGATCAAGAGCCTTGAAAGTCTCTTCAGCAAGCTCCAACCTTTCCTTTTCTCTAGTCAAATTATCACGCACTAGCTTATTGAAAAGCCCCACGATTGGGTTACCACTGCTCTCCCTATCAAGTTCCTTGAGCTTCCTATCGGCCCTTTTCTTCTCCAGCTTTATCGCAGCCTCAATAGAAGGGTTTCCCATGAATTTCTTGAACTCCTCGTCGGTCTTCCAGTCCATTTCTTGCTGATCTTCTTTCCCCTCCGTTTCTTCGTTTTGTTCACTCGATTCAGCAGCATCTGGAACGCTCTTCGCACTGTGTTTTTTGTCCCTCGGATCCTCGGATGCCACCGCAACGGAACCCGAAGAAGAAGTGGGCTCGGTTTCTTGTTCATCTTTAACAGAGGATCTTAAAGGTTTTAATGAAAGATAGCGACGATTAACCGAGATATCAAGAGAATCTCCACGATTAAAACTCCGGGTTTTCTTTACAATCGTAGATAAACTCGACCCAACATTGTTAAACCCATGTTTCTCGTTGTTTTGCAGGGTAGGGAGATTGCGTGAAGATAGAAAAGAGTGTGAAGTGAAGAAAAAAGTAGCCATTTTTTAATGAAATTTTCTGAATGAAGTTCAATGCTGGTATTATGAGAAAGTACATATATTAGGAGAACGGTATATAAGAAACCGAGGAAGAGGTGTCTAGAAAGGTGGAGAAGTATTACAGGTGGAGTGGTTCGTGGAGGAGACAGAAAACGATTGGATTTTGTGGTGATCGATCCAAGTGGACAAAATGGCTGTGGAGTCTTCTGATTTTACTAGGCGACTTGACTTGATGCCACTTGGCATTTTAATATCACGTCTAAACAGGTCCATTTCAAGGTTTTTAGTATGAGACTATGAGTACATATATATTGTATTTTTTTTAACAATGCAAAGACTAATCGTAAACCTCTAATTGAGAAGATTAACTCAAAGTAATTAAGCATATTACAAAGACATGCAATGCATTCTTTTGAAAAGGGTAGGTTTCGCCTAAGGCTGCAAAGGTTAGTTGCGATGATGAGAAACATAGTGTTGAGAATTGTTATACCTTCTTTAGATTTCTTTTGTAAATTATCATTTTACTATTAATCTTTTCCATTAATCAAGAAGGAATATTTATGTTGATTCATGTTTGCAAATAATTTTAGTTCTTAACATTATCATTAACAGTCTCACATGATCCATCGAAGTTAACTATGACATTTGATAATCATATCAAATAGTCTGGCACTAAGCTTGACATTAACACTAGGATTAAGAGTATATAAGTTGTCATGACTAGATGGAGAGACTAAACTCTTCATTCTTCTCCTTTGGCTTACATAAGTTTATCTTCTTTAACTCATCGTTTTTATAAGTTCTTCTTTAACTCGTCATTTTTATATAATTCTTAACTGCGACTTTTCATCTAAATCAGAAGTGACAACTTAAATTTTACCATCAACAATAACTTAAATGGCTCAAAGATTCTCCTGTTTGAGTTCGTTGCATGGGAGGCATGCCTTGAAGGTGCTTAGAAAATGAAGTGGCTAACTTTCTCCCTGCATTATTATGTCGGGACACCTGTTGAAATTTCCTGGGCAACCATCCAAGAATCTGATAAGCCTTATGATAATTTGTTTGCTGCAACCAATGCAATTGGCCGAGGCAACCATGGAAATCATGCCAGTACCGATCGCAGTACCAGCAGCAAGCACTTGACGTAGAAGAGTTAGAGATGCTCTTGTAAGCATACTTGGTGACATTTATCATGGTGCATGTGCTCGAGTATTTCAGTTCCTGACATATAACACCGTATAAACCTTCATATGAGTATGAATATTAGCTTCTTTATCATTCTTTATTCTTGTGCCTTCTTCGTGTTTGATATTCATCTTAATTTGTCATCTTCCCGGTAAGCGCAGGGGATGTGTCGATGACACAGAGGACTACATTAATATACAGGGCAAATTTTACTTTGATGATTCAACTTTTAAAGAAATCCAACTTTATTTCCAAAAACTTGTCCACATCATTTAAATCTCATCTTACAATGGAAGATCTCTTAAGTTTGATCCATCAGGAAGCTGACACCGAAATGACATGAATGGTCGGACTTACAATCGGCAGATATATAAAAGAAGCATAATTGGCCTACAGTTCAACGACTTCCGCCGACGAAGTATTTACAGAGGTTTTCGGACGATCGGTCTCGAGCTGACTGTAGTTTCCTTTCTCCTTGAAGAGTTGGATATGGTGATGTTTGCAGTAAAGCTTCCCTTCATGTGCTATATAATTTGATGGACTAATGGTGCACCCTCCATGGCAGCACTTGAAGCAGCCCCTGTGGTAAGATGTCCCATTAACCGTAACCTTCAACAGCATGAGAAAAAAATCAAAATAGATTATCTCACTCAAAATTTCCATTTTTGGGGTGATCCATGGCTCATATATTTGATATACTCCTATATTTAACAATTCACAAAATTATAGATTTCTTCGGGTTAAAAAAACCGGACCGAAAACGAATCCATTCAATAAATAGGAAGAGTTCCATATAATATATAAGATCATTTAGATCATTAGTTCCAACAACATCACATGGTGTTTAAATGCAGATACATTTAAGAGATAACATCTAATAAGCTTAAAATTCAAATTCTAATCGGATTAGGTCTAGGGATGACCTGGTTCCTAATACTAGCATAGCCAATCCAAATTCATTCATCTCCCTTGCGATGTATAGACCAGACTTATTAGGCTGGACGGATGACCCGTACTCTTAAAAGAAAATGAAAATGATAACAAAGAGTTTTAATTAATTTATTTACCCTTTCAATTGGATAGACAGTGTTATTACATCCCTTGCATTTTTCTCTGGTGCCAGCGAACACGTTCGACAGTTTTAGCGCACCCTGATGGATCCATAGTTCAAAGGTAAGATATATTGCAAATTTTTCATATTTTAAATAACAAAATATTCTGAAACAGGTAAATAAACATATTACTTTTTTGCCAATAATTACCTCATTTTCAACCAGTTTTTCATTCTTGATCTTTGGTGTTCCTGGATAAATATTTAGAAGAATATAAATCGTTAATAGACGTATATAATAAAGGGTAAATATATGTTTTGATACTTAAAACATGGTTTTAAAGTTCAATTTGGTATTTGTTCTCTTTTTTTTCAATTAAGTACCTAAATTTGATTATTTTTAGTTCAAATTGGTCACTAGACTTGGGGGGTGTCATAGATTGATGTTTACATAAATGACTTATTTGAACCATAAAATCAAGTCATGTACCAATTTGAACAAAAAAACCAAATTCAATTACATAATTGGACAAAAAAATTAATTGTCAAGATATATATTTACCCTAAAATAATTAATACGGGGTGATCGTCACCTCAGTGCAATATTCATATCAAATATATATGTTTGGATATAGGATCTTCTAAATGTTATATATATATATGAATACCAACTCTCTGATAGTCCAGCTAGATAAGACGCATATATATGAAGATAAACTCTCAGTTGCTTTATCGAGATAAGGGGCTAGATCCCTTAAATAAAGTTAATGATTTGATTTTTGATATTGTGAATGAAGTTGTGTTAGAAAGATTGCCCTTATAGTGAATTTTGTAATATCTTACTGGGATTGATTGGTCAATGAATCAAAGCCGATTGTTATAGCAATAAATATAGATATAAATACCTTCAAAACTCTTGTCAAGACTGCCGGTTCTCTTGAAGAGTTGATCATAGTGAGGCCTGCAATACAACACTCCTTCAAAAGAGTTGTAATTGCTGAGCTGCAAAATTAAATAATAATGAATGAATGAATGAAAAATATTACGTACAACTTATTTTGTCAAAATACCAATAGAGCAACATAAAATCAAGTTAGATTTTAGCTCAATTAATTCATCCAACTACTAAATAAACATGATATTTGAATCTCAACATTTACAGTTTTTTATCATATTCCATTACAAATTCCAATATCTACAATCACACAACCGTAAACCCCTCATGTTGAAAGAAGATTGCAATATTAAAAAACATTAGATATACTTACCTTTAGAGTGCCGTTGCAATGGTGGCAACGGAAGCAGGCCTTATGGAAAACCCGGTTATCAGCCGTCAGCTTATCAACCAAATAGACAGTCTTGTTGCATGCCATGCATTTCTGTTGTGTCCCTGCAAATGTTGCCATTGTTTTGCTGCTTGATTTGTTTCTTTTAAACGAAAAAACAAAGATAAAAGAGAAGGCAAATCAAATGATTATATTAACCTTCCTATAATCCTTGTTCTTCGAATTTGTTTGTTGGGATAATATTAATAGGTCAATTTGGAAACTAAAAAAAACAAAAACAAAGGGGGATTTCTCACAAATGTGGTCTGCAGCGAATCTCGGGCTTAAATAAAAGAAAACATCAAAAGCATACCCGTCGGAATTTCCCCACCATACATTCATTTACTAAAGATATAAAAAATCCATCAAACATTAGCGAGAAATATTACAGCCAGAAGTCAATTGTACATATAAAAAATTAATTTAAGCTTCGCTTAATTTGTTCTCAAACATTAGGGAGGAATAGCTGATTGAGTTAGCACCTTCTAATTCTCAAGATTTGAAAGATTATAGATAGCCTAGATATATAAAAAAAAAATCCAATAATAAACAGCTAAATGTATATAAAAAAGATGTTAATTTCCTAGATGAGCAAGCTATATCAACTGACCTGTAATATAGTAGGATCTGAGAACTTTAAATCTGGCATAACCAATTGAAGAAACATAAGATCTTGCATTTTGGCCTGCAAGGCTCACAAAACTGCCTAAGCGTCCTGTAAGCTTATAGTGCCATTTTATGGTACTATGCTATGTATTCCACGTTTGTCAAAATTATTATATATAAAATTAGAAAGACTTACAAGTTGAAATCAGGTATTTGGTCTAGTGGTATGATTCTCGCTTAGGGTGCGAGAGGTCCCTTGTTCAATTCTCGGAATGCCCTCGTTAAGGTCATTTTTTAACTTATAATCATAAAATCTGCTACTAAGTCAACTATACAAATAAAATAACATAGAGGCTTAGTAATTTCAGATCCATTTACTCCATAGACAAATTGTGGTGTCTTCAAAAGTTTATTTCTTGTACCTTTTATATTGTCATCAAAAGGATGGAAATCTGATGTATTCGAAGAGGTGCAGGTATATTATGAACTACGATTCAGACTTGAACTTGTTTAAGTGAAGGGCAAGCGATTCTTCATACGTTTATCTCAAAAGTGTTCAGATAAATCTGCCTTAAACCTCCTAAAGGTGCAAATACTCAGGAATGAAGCACTAAAAATGTGCAAAACCTTGTCAAGGTGGGATTCATTTCAAGATCCTCGCTAGAAAATTACAATATGGCTTTAGCAGCTAAAGTAGGTAGCACCTCTACATAATGCATCATAATAGACTTTGAATACAGTTGCAGAGTCCGACTAACAAAAGGTTAGTCGGATGCAACATTAATTATTGGCCAATAACTGCTATGAGTCCCATAAGAACATCAAACCATTAGCTTTCTAACAAGTTAAAAGCTGGACGTGAAAATTTAGCAGAATCTTTGACAAAACAGCTAATTGTTGAAAGATAGGTTGAGTTAAGCATCGAAAATGGTTATTTGGTTTAGTGGTATGATTCTTTCTTTGGGTGTGAGATGTCCTGAGTTTGATTCTCCGAATGCCCCTAATTCTAAATTCTTTTTGAGTTCCATCTTACAATTTCAAAAACCAATCAAAATAATATAGCCAGAAGTCAACTGTATATAAAAAAAATTTAGGATTTCATCTTAACTAGCATCAAGAAACATTTGATCTGCCATAACAAGTCCAAGAAACATAAGATCCTGCATTTGGCCTGCTGGCCACACAAAAACAGTATTTACTGATATGATTTTTGCATAACTGCCTAACTGTCCTTTTAGCTTATCTTTATGTCACTTTATGGTACTATGCTATGTATTCTAAGTTTGTCATATAATCTGCATACCCAAATTTAAAAAATGTACAAACTATTTTTATTACAAGACATGATTAGCATCATAATTGGGCATTTGGTCTAGTGGTATGATTCTCGCTTAGGGTGCGAGAGGTCCCGAGTTCAATTCTCGGAATGCCCCTAATTTTTTCATTTTCATGAAAACGTTTATGGCAAGAAAATCAAGTGCAAGAGAAGTCTCTAAGTTCAATCTATTGCCCTATGTGTCCTATAAGAGCATATTCAAAACCATTAGTTTAAGAACTAAGCTAGTATTTTATCAGCAGAAAAACTTGCTAACCAGTTAGAAGTTATATGTGAATGTTTAGCAGAATAAAATAATATAGAGGCTTAGGAACTTCAGATCCATTTGGATACTGACAATATTCTTTTGCAGTGAGTAAAATATAAACAAATTGTGGTGTCTTCAAAAGTTCATTTCTTGTACCTTATGAACTCCAACTCCTCATTTCCTTTGAAATACCTGTATTAAGACTTGAACTTGTCCAAGTGAAGGGCAAGCGATTCTTCATACATTTATCTCAAAAGTCTTCAGATAAATCTGCCTTAAACCTGCTAAAGGAGGGATCACATAAGCATGTAATCGACCAACTTTCGAGGAGCAGACTTAAAATACTTGAGGAATGAATAATTACAAAGGTGCAAAACCTTGTCAAGTTGGGATTCATTTCAAGATCCCAACTAGAATTACAAAATGGGTTTAGCAGCTAAAGTAGGTAGCACCTCTACATATTGCATCATAATAGACTTTGGATTCAGTTACAGAGCCCCACAAAGGCAAAACAAAAAGGTTAGTTTGGCGCAACATGAATAATCAGTCAATACCTGCTATGAGTCCCATAAGAACATCTTTAAACCATTAGCTCGCTAACAAGTTAGAAGCTGGACGTGACAATTTAGCAGTCTTATAGAAAAAAAACTAATAATTAGAGGCAGGTTGAGTTTGACAATCAAAAAAGGGCATTTGGTCTAGTGTTATGATTCTCGCTTACGGTGCGAGAGGACCCGAGTTCAATTCTCGGAATGCCCCCATCTGTATTTTTTCAGTTTCCTAAGTTCAATCTTTTTGTCAACATAAAACCTCATTTTAATCTTTTTTGTGCAATGGCTATACTAAACAGAGCGGCAAAGCACTACAAAGGCACAGAACCTCATTAAGGCGGTATTCGTTTCAGGATCCTAACTAGAATTACAAGATGGCTTAAGCAGCTAAAATAGATAGCACCTCTACATATTGCATCGTGATAGATTTCAGGATTCAGTTTACTGGTCAATTAAGAACTTCCTGTGTGCCCAATAAGAACATATTTAAAATCATTAAGATCTAAGCTAGTATTCTAACTGCAGAATAACTTGCTAACCAGTTAGAAATTAGACATGAATGTTGAGCAGAATCTTGAAGCAAAGAGTTAGTAACTGAAGAGAGGTTGTGCTAAACATCAAAGATGAGTATTTGGTCTAGTGGTATAATTCTCATTTTGGGTGTGAGAGGTCCTGAGCTTGATTCTCGGAATGCCTTCAATCCCTTCTTTTAACTTTCCCAAATTTTACAACTTTAAATGATTGATCATAAGAATCAAGCACAAATTCAACTTAAATAAAGTGCATACTGCATAACACTATAATACTTCATGAAGTTCAGATTACTTTGTATTCTGACAAGATACCTAACGAATGGTACCAAAAATAAATAATATATAGAAAGTAATCAGTATACCTACTTCTGCTATTTTATTAATTGCCGGCATGTTAACCTAATTCGTGCAAGAAGTAATCAGGAAAAAGAATCTCTCTCTATAACAATATATAAATTATAGAAGTTAACCTTACCCTAGGCACCAATAGGTTCATAAAAACCAGAGTAATTGGAAAACATTAAATATACACTAAAAAAAGAAATTAAAAAATTTTCCGCCGATAAACTTTTACTTATTGTGGAACAAAAATCTGCATGAGCTAGTGAATAGTCTACATATAATACTCGAGCAGTCGTCAAGCTCCATAGCGGGAACTTATATATAGGCGATCACTGGTTAGTTTATGAGGAGTTGACAGGTCCTTTTGATGACTGGAAACTCGAAGGAAAAGGCAAAAAAGGAAATAATATATTGAATTTGCTTTTGAGTTCTCTCTCTTTATTTCAGGTCAATTTCCATGGTTTTTCGGCGGGAATGACTGGTGATCAAGGAAATGGTTCCGCGAAAAACGGAGACCGCTGTCAAAATGTAGGGTGAGTTTGTTTGCCGTAATTAGAATTACGGAATTGATTTTTCTCGAATTTTTGTGTTTGTTTAATGTAATTCGTTTTTTATAAAATATTTTTTCGTGTTTGTTTCACGTAATTCGTTTTTCAAAAAATATTTTCTTGTATTTGTTTCACGTAATTGGTTTTCTGGAATGTAATTCATTTTCCTAATAACATAATTTCCTTTGTGTTTTCTGTAAAATGACTTACAGATTCATTTTCAGTAAGTCATTTTCTGAACTTTTCACTTCAAATAATAAATACTCAAAATAATTTTATTTTATGAATTTAATATTAATAAAATATTCTAAGCTCAAGGAAAATGTAGTTGAAGTTTGTAGATACCGGGATAGAATCATGATGATTAAGGTTATTATAGAAGCGTGAATGATGAATGTCCTTTCAGTGTACGCCCCACACGTTGGCCTAGGGGGAGGGGGAGAAACGTTGCTTCTGGGATCAGTTAGATGATGTATTTAGGAGTATTCCGGATGACCAAAGAGTTTTCATAGAGGGAGACTTCAATGGCCATATAGGTAATGCAACCGACGGGTATAACGGTGTTCATGGGGGTTTCAGTTTTGGTAGCTGGAACGAGGAGGGGTGTACGTTGCTTGAATTTGCTACTGCACACGATATGGTGGTCACTAACTCCTTCTTTAACAAGAGAGATGTGAACTTGATTACGTTCCATAGCGGGGGACATTGTACCAAAATCGACTACATCCTGGTTCGAAATCGAGATCGATGGGCTTGCATTGATTGTAAGGTGTTCCCTGAAGAGGCATGTGCATCACAACACAGGTTGTTAGTTTTGGTGTTCCGCGTACACCACGGGCGGAACACTCATAGGAGGGCTAAACTTGGTAAACCTAGGATCCTTTGGAAGAACTTACATGGAACGACAGCTGATGACTTTAGGAGTAAGGTTTTGTCTAATACAGGTTTTGGAACTACAAACTCAAATAATGCAGATTAGTTATGGAAAAATATGGCAAATTCCATTAGAGAGGTGGCGAAAAACACCCTTGGGTTATCGACAGGGAAGGTCAAGGAACATAAAGAATCGTGGTGGTGGAACGACGAAGTTCAAACTAAGGTGAAGACAAAGCAAACTTGCTTCAAGGAGTTTCTACAATGCAATGACGACGAAGAAAGATCGAGAGCTAAACAAAGATACAAGGAGGCAAAGCGGGAAGCCAAGAAAACGGTGGCTAAAGCAAAAGATAAGGCATACGAGGAAATGCACAAGAGATTAGACACCAAGGAAGAACAAAACGACATCTTTAGGCTTGCAAAATCCAGGGAGAATAGGAAAAATGATCTATGTAGCATTATGTTTATTTAAGGACAACAATGGTGTTCTTTTAGTGAAAGATCATGATATTAAGAGGGTTTGGGGTAGTTACTTCTTTGGCTTATTTAATGACGGTGCCTCTCCCTGTAGAGATAGTACCGTTGATGGATCAGCCGACTATTATACTACGGCCAATGACTGCCCTACAAGTAGGATTGGGTTTGAGGAAGTCAAAATGACTCTTAGAAAGATGGCGAGGGAAAAAGCTGTCGGTCCAGATCAAATTCCTATCACTGTGTGGTTGGACCTAGGAGAAGACGGAGTTAAGTGGTTGACCAACATCTTTAATATTATTTTAGAGGCTGCCAAGATGCCAGAGGATTGGAGAGAGTCTACGGTGATACCAATCTATAAGAATAAAGGAGATCCCCAACGTTGTGTCAACTACAGAGGTATTAAACTACTCAGCCATACCATGAAGTTATAGGAAAGGGTTATAGAGGCTAGGTTGAGACATGTTTCTAGGGTTTCGGAAAACCAATTTGGCTTTATGCCAGGCAGGTCTACTACGGAGGCGATTCATCTACTTCGACGGCTTATGGAGAAATATAGGGAAAAAATAGAGATCTTCATATGGCGTTCATTGACCTTGAGAAGGCGTATGATAGCGTTCCCCGCGATACGATCTGGAAGACCTTGGAAACGAGACGGATCTCAACTACTTATATCTGGGTGATTTGTGATATGTATTGTAGATCTACTACATATGTCAGGACTACAGTTGGAGACACCGAGGCTTTCCCGGTGGAAATCGGACTCCACCAGGGGTCGGCACTTAGCCCTTACATCTTCGCCTTGATTATGGACGACATCTACTGTGCGACACCACATGGTGTTCCATGGTGCATGCTTTTCGCTAACGACATTGTACTAGTTGTTGAAACAAAAACTGAGTTGAATAGTAGACTGACTACCTGGAAAACTGCTTTGAAAAAAAAGGTCTAAGGATCAATATTAAAAAGACAAAGTATTTATGTTCAAACTTCAGTGGGAACCAAAACGATGAAGATGTAGAAGTATGCATAGAAGGACACGTCCTCCCCTCAAAGGATTGTTTCAAGTACCTAGGGTCTATGATACATAAAGATGGGGGTGTAGATGATGACGTTACACACCGTATAAAGGCGGGATGTCTAAAGTGGAGGGATTCTACTGGAGTTTTGTGTGACAAGAATGTTACTCTAAAACTTAAGGGAAAATTTTATAGAATGACAATAAGACCAGCGCTGCTATATGGATCAGAATGTTGGGCAATCAAGAAGGATCACGTAAGGAGGATGGAGGCCGCAGAAATGAGAATGCTTCGATGGGCATGTGATAAGACTCTGTGGGACATGACACCAAACTCTGCTATTAGGATGTCCTTGGGGGTGGTGTTTGTATCCGAAAAATTGAGGGAGGGAAGACTACGGTGGCCTGGGCATGTCCTTAGGCGACAACCGTCGGATGTGGTCAGGAGGGTTGAGTCGATTACAGTCGACGGTGCCAGAAGGAGAGGACGACCAAGGCGGAAGTGGGAAAGACTGCTTGATATATGATTTGAAGGATTTAGCCCTTACCGAGGACATGACCTCTGATAGGAAATTATGGAGACTTAAGACCAGGGTAGTCGAGTAGTGCGAGTCACATACATATGATGTGTCATCTCTGCATTCTTTTAATGCCTTTGTAGTTATTTCCATGACTTTTACTTTTTAAACGTTTATATCATTGGAATTTATGAAGGTGTAGAACTATGATAGCGGAGTAGTGTTACCTTAGTTTAGGTTTTATCCCATTTGACTTTATACATTCTCGTAGCTTGCTATCGTTGACTACTGTGTAACCTTGTCTTCATGTTTCCTCTTTTAAGTTTGGTCGGGTCTTACGTTTTTGTATATATGCAGAGATTTTTACGCATTGATTTATTTGCAGGAAGTACTTTCTAGTACAAACACGCATATGAAGACTGCATATGAAAACTGTTCAATTATGTATTTCTTTATTAATTTATACATGCATTGCATTTTATATTTATTTTAAAAAATTGTAACTGCCGGAGGTCTTCCACGGAAGCTGCTCTCAACCATGCGTTGGAGGCAGCCTACTACCCTACCTCCCCTTACCCCATTACATATGGGAATAGGGTTTTGTTGTTGTTGTATAATAATATAATATTATATTTTTAATATTATATAAAATAATCAATTATATTATAATAATATAAGATATTATATTTTTATTTTAATAATATATAATAAAAATCTTTATATATTTAATAAAAAAAATGGTTGTCCCTTGTTCACATATGTAATGGGGGTAAGGGGGAGGTAAGATAGTAGGCTGCCCCCAACACTAAGTTGAGAGCAGCTTCCGTAGGAGACTTCCAAATTATGAAATGCCCTGCATGAGACTCGATCCCACGACCTCAAGGTTAAAAACCTTGTGCTCTACCAACTGAGCTGGATGGTCATTTCTTTATATATTTAATAATGAATAATATTATTTATATATTTAAATAATATTTTAATAAAGATATTTAAAATATACTAATTAATATTTTAAAATATAATATAACACTATTACATTAATAAATAATTAATATAATTTATAATAGTTTATTTCACTAAAATATACAAAAATTATTATTTTTATTAATAAAATTATAAAAATAATATTTAATAATAAATAAATTATTTTAATATTTTAAAATAATAATATTAAGTTTTATGATAAATAATATTATTTATTATATTTAATATTTATAATAAATAATTTTTAAAAAACTCTTCATCCAGTGGAAAAAAAGTTTAAATAACATCTTTCAAACATCATAAAACGTTTTCCAGATGTTTTTTAGAAAAATATAATTCATTTTACGGAAAACATTTTCCGAAAAACGTTTTCCGGAAATGTAATTCATTTTCCAGAATTCAAATTCCAGTAATTCATTTTTCAGTTCTAATAATTCAAATTTCAGTAATTCATTTTTCGAAAAACCAATTACAACCAAACAAACAGACTTGTAGTCTCATTGTGGAAGACGGCATAATGGCACAAACCCCCTTAGTTATAGTAGTCTTTTCAATACGATTACTGTACTTTGAAAATGTAGATTGTGACACATTTTTTCGTTCCATCTTCTAAAATCTAAAGCAATACATGTCTAGGTTTTAAGGGGAAAAATAAATACAATGATTATTTTTAAATTAAAGCATAATTCTATAAAAATAATAGTACGTGTCAATTTTTCATTATAAAATTGAAATTAATTACTATTTATCACAACACATGATATATTTATGCCAAGTTAGGATTGAAAAAGTTTGCTGTGTCAATCTATACTAAACATTTACGTTAGATGTCACTTTAGAATATGAAATTAAATTTTAAATATCAAAATTTATATTTAGAATTAATTATTATTTGATTTAATAAAATAAGATATTAGGTTACTAAAATAAAATTAGGAGTTTGAATCTTGAAAAATAAATCTAATAATCAATTCGAACATGCTTGTTGAACTAAAACATGTCACTTGTACTAGTTCTCAATTTAACCCGTTGATAAGAGACAAACATACTTATAAATATGAATATTGATATTTAAATATGATAAAATTCGAATAAAAAAATTTAAATTTCGCAAAACTTTAATCATACCATTAAACCGTGACCTCATGATGATCAAATTCAAAATTTTAATCAAAAAGAGAACTACAAAGATAAGAAATCAAATTCCAAAAAGACCTTTATTTGATGCAAAACCACAAAAAGTTTTACCATGTTCAGTTGTTTACAACACAATATCTGTACAAGAAAAAGGATGAAACAAATTTATGCCCCACGCACCCACCAAACTATACGATACCAATGATTCAAGCCAAGTTGGAAAATTAAGACCATGGTCCCAGCCACGGACAAACCTTGTAAGAAAGACGAGACCAGACAGCAAAGTGATGTTGTTGAGATCTCAATTCTTTGATTTTGAATGCTTCACAAGCCAATCAATCACCGTATCGATGTTGGTTGAGTTCTTGCATGAAATCATATAGCAACAAACTTCTCTGTCTGTGATAGACTTCAGCCCCCTGCATAACCATCAATGGCAAGTGTTCAATGAATTAATGACCATCAGTTTGGTTATATCAAGCTACACGAAGACTAATGTTTAATTCTTTCACTTACATTTGCTCTGTCAAATTTTCCTCAGACAAGGCTTCCGGTTTGTCGATCTTGTTTCCGAGTACCAGCAGGGGAATACCGTTCAGTGAGGTTTTACTTAACAGGTCATGGAGTTCTCTTCTCGAGACGGATAAGTTATCAGAGTCAGCAGCATCCACGACATAGCTGTGTATTGCAGAAAATCAGAGTAAGAACGAGTTGATCACCAATACAAAAGAAAACATGATGGTGCAAAACATGTATTTTATATCCATGGAATAGCATATATCAATCTATGCCGCTTACATTGCTAATTTGCAAGTCAAACACAGCAAAGACGTTTAAATTTGTCTGTAGGAAATTATGGCAATCAGTAGACAAACAAGGAAAGAAAATTAGAATAACCGGTGAGATGGATGTGAAAAGTAAGGAAGAAATCATTGCTGCAACTCGGTGTTTTCATTCTATAGATATAAGCTCACTAGTGAACTAGAATTTATCAAGATAATTTCCCAAGTTTCTATTGCCTTCAATTAGATATTTGAATATGTATGAATATTTACAATTGTAGCATTTTCCCTTTTATTACCTAACAATTCACTAACATGGTCAAGCCGGAGATAGAAAATAGGTCCTTGTAAATCACTCAAGAGGGCATGAAGTTGTTGTTTCCTAGGAATATTAAAGGAACTTGAAGGACCACAAGTCACAAAGGCTTTTCGTTTTTCCTAATTGATAACATACTCCGACGTGGGTATGAGAGTACGATCCTATGTAGGGATGTACGATTGCCCCCTAAAATTTTCAAATTCTCTTATATTTTAGATTTTTTCTATGTATTTTCTATTGATAATCTATTATCGCCCCCTTGAAATTTTATAAGTTCAACCCCTAACATAAAATCCTACGTCCATCCCTGATTCCCCAGTATTCTCTTGTATAAAAAAAAGAACCCCGACAACAACTATTTGAAGTAAAGACATGCATATCATAGAAACATTAAACGATGTCTTGTGTTCCAAGCTCATGCTATAAAGAGAAATATAGTAGCTAAAAAGTACATACTTACACAATAGCCGAAACAGCACGGCAGTATCTCTCCCACATACTCCGAAACCTTGGTTGACCCCCAAGATCCCACAACTTTATTGTGACATTTCCTTTAGTTACCTTCCTCATATTAAACCCTACCTGCAAATAGAATGAAAATTACAAGAAACAATAGAACAAGCAAACAAAAAATAGTTGCAAGCAAATTAACATTCTCGAGAATAACTTTCCATATTGGTTCTTTGCCATGTCACTTACTGTCGGTATCATATCTTCACTATATCCACCAGTCTGGAAATAAGATGTGGAAAAATAAGTCAAGCTGTCAGGACCAAGCTAAAAGAGATAGGATGCTAACAAAACGAACAATATTATAACTCTCACATAAATGCACTTACAGCAATGACATTAACTAGGGATGTTTTTCCGGCATTCTGGAGGCCTATTAAAGATAGCTCCATCTCTTGCTTGAAAAAGAGACTACAGGAAGGAGAAAGAAAATAAGAATGGCCATGCAGGGAAATTTAACTCAAATAGATGGGGTGAATATGCAAAAAACAGGCACTAGCAAACATACATCGAGAGCTCTTTCAAAATTATAATGCAATCCCTAAATATACATAAAGAAAGAAAATGCCCTAATCACTGGCAACCTAAACCAGTCTTTTGTCACCCATGGTAATCGTCCCTTGCTGTTTGTGTAATTCATGACTCAGCAGCTCACTAGTTTGGAGAATAGCCCCTCACCCCCAACAAAAAAGGGAAAAAACACTTACAGAACACCTATTTCGAATTCAAGTTGTTCAGTCAGTGTAACATATGCAGTCACATTAGGCTAGGCCGTTAAGAGCAGTTTCTGGTTCAAGATGGATCACATTAGGCTAGGCCGTTGAGACCTCAATAAAGACGACTCTAAGATAACCCAGCCGCTAATGTAATTCTCCTATTTGTGCATTGTCCAAATCTGCACTTAACACCGCAGCGACCACATGATCACGTTGTAACAACATCCTTATCTCCAGTGCATTGGCAAGACAACCCAAAACTCTCGCAGTTGCTACTAGCTGCAACTATCACTTTTCCAAATGCAATGCTAAAGAAACAGAAGTTTGTGTAATAATGGACATAATACCTCCACACAGACACATAAAGAGAAATCTAGAATAAAGATATGCCCAAACACCTTGAGCATAGATGAGAAGAACATCTTCTTCTCGCTATCTATGACAAGTTACCAAAATCAAGCACTTCAACAGAGTAGTTAGCGAACAATATATGAACTATATAGGCAGCAATGTTTAGACTCAATTTAATTACCCATCAACCAATTATCACAAAAACAAAACACTTCAAAGCTGGTCTTTTAATCACAACCTTACGTATGTGTGTGGACGTTCTTAGCATCAAAACATAGCTCCGTTAAAAGGGAAGAAAATTCAATTAAAAAAACTTACAGTACAAAAAAAAAAATCAACAATTTGAACGCACAAGTTCCAGACATTTATATACTTAACCCAATTTTTAACTATCAAATTAATAAAATTAAAAACCGAAATCGGTAATAAAATAATTGAAGCACGAACATAAACAATCACTTTTTCTTTTTTCTCGCAAGATATTAGCCAAAGTTCGATTACAACTTTAAGATGAAGAACCAAAAAAAAAATCAATTTCTTAAATTCGTCACTTGTGTTTTCGCAGTAACCAAACAAGGAAGAGAACTTACCTTCGTAGCCAATTTAGAAAAGCTTCCCACAATCCCATTCTTTTTCGATGATAAGAAGAAGAAAAGATAAAGGAATTAGGTTCCGATTTTGAGCTGAAAAGATCTGCGGAGGAAAAGAATAAGATTTTGCAACGCCTTTTATAGGCTTATTTACAATGATTGAATTCCCTCGCTATTTATACCAAAAACAAATTATAAAACAATGTAACAACCTTTTTTTTTTATAAAAAAAACAAGAATTCATGAAGAATAAGGTTGCTAGACGGCTAACACGCGCTTATGGTATAAGAGTGGAATACTTAAGCCTACCGTTAGGTCTTTTGTATATTTGGCGCAAATTAAGTGGGCCGTTTTCCTCACGATTAATTTTAGCGGTTGGATGATGAGTTGTTAGATGAAAACAAAAGTACTTTTTGGGAAGTAGTTTAACGACACCGTTTCACTTGCACTTGTGCTTTTTCCTGATTTGTCTGCTACATTGTCCAGGTTGTCGGGTAGCCTTCTTAGATTGGATTGGTTCAAAAATAAAATCCCAACACAGTATGGGTAAATGGCGTCGAAATCCTTCAAATTTGAACAAAATTTAATGTCAGTCCATCGATACGAAGAATGGGCACTTTGGGTGAAGAGTTTAAAACTTTTAAAATCTCAAGTTCAAGCTATCATCATTAGTGTCACATTCAAATTTATTTAAATCTCAATTTAAATATATTCTTACAATTAATTTTATCTTACGTCATAATATCTTTTACTTTCATTTTATGATAGTATTTGTTTAAGACCTACAACTAATTAATAAGTGCTGGGTAAGATACATTGCGCTTTTAAGATAAAAATCTAAGTTGAAGATTCAAAACAATATTATTGGAAAGGATAGTCATGAACCTTGAACTTGAATATAAATGTATTTTTAATATAACTGTAACACTTTAAAATAGAAATAAAACGATACTCTTAAAAGAAGCAAATTACAAACCAAATATAAATGTATTCTTAATATGCTTGTAACACTCCAAATTAAAATGAACACTACCAACAACTAGTTGGTCTAGTGGGATGAGACATTAAGTCTCTTAAGTAAGGTCAGGGGTTCGAATCCTGATGTTTGTAAATAGAGCAAATTGGGGGTTGTTTGTCCTTACCTCTGCTGTACCCGGTCTGGATTAGTCGGTCAATAGATCGAATACCAGTGATTAATTCAAAAAAAATAAATACTCTTAAAAGAAACAAATTACAAACCAGTGTTGTAAAAGTCAGACATGTAGTCGATTTTCGGTTCAAACGTTCATGCTTTTATTTATTTAATCAATAGAGATTTGATTTAATTCTGATAACATGCGTTGGGGTGGTTTTGCGGTGCGGCGCCTAAAAAACGGCTAATATACGGCGTGACCGGTTAAACAAGTGACCGGTTAAAATTTAGACCGGTTATGTTATATTATTTAACCGGAAATATTATAAAGTACAATAACATACTAGGTAGCGCTTATATAATGTAATAGGTAGCGCTTATATTTACCTATTTTATAAGTAAACCGGTATATTTATACCGATAGCATTGCAAATTTACCTATTACATTATATTATATTGAAAGTGTCCATACTTTTTATAAAAAGGATCGATACTTTAACAGTGTTTCATGTTTTCCACCTACAATATTAATTTAATAATTTCATTTGCACAAAAAATTATTTGATTGTTTTGATATTTTATAAAATAATATTTAGAATTTTTAATTTAATAATAATATATATCGTAACGTAAAAAATAAATCATTAGACGCCTATAATTACTAAATTAATATCTTAAAACTCACTCAAAAGATAACCTTAAATTAATGTTTTCCACAGTGAAAAAAGTATGAACACTTTTATAAAAAGGATAGACACTTTACAATATAACCACTACCTATTACATTATATAAACGATACCTATTACATTATATAAGGGCTACCTATTACATCATATGTTTACCTATTATATTGAAAGTGTCCATACTTTTTATAAAAAGGATCGATACTTTTTTTAAAACTTATGTAATTTATGTTTCAATTTTTTTAACAGTGTTTCATGTTTTCCACCTACAATATTAATTTAATAATTTAATTTGCACAAAAAATTATTTGATTGTTTTTATATTTTATAAAATAATTTAGAATTTTTAATTTAATAATAATATATATCGTAACGTAAGAAATAAATCATTAGACGCCTATAATTACTAAATTAATATCTTAAAACTCACTCAAAGGATAACCTTAAGAACACTTGAAGAAGCAAGAGAACAACTATCAAAGCAATCAAAAACGAGAAAATCCCAACATGATAACAACTGAACATATCATATCAATGTTCAAACTCAAGTTGTAGATTTTGATTTCCTTTTGCTTGGCATCATATGAGATTTGGATTTTGATTTCCTTTTGCTTGGCATCATATGAGATTTGGATTTTGATTTCCTTTTGCTTGGCACCATATGAGCTTTGGATTTTGATGAGCATCGGAAGTATTTCAGACTTATGATTTGGGTGGTACTCAACTTATGATTTTAGTTGCTATTTGTTACATTTCTTGTATACCACCCATATCATACGCCCGAAACGTTTCTGACGCTTTAAAGTTGACCAAAAAATAAAATAGTCGGGATTTCCCTCGCGTTTATACGTTGGAAAAAAAACAATGGAAATTAGGAATAATCAATGATAACATGCATATTGGCTTGGGCTAATATTTATAGTGGAGCCGAAATATATATTGAAATTCAAACTCAAATTGAAATTTAAATTCAAACTCCAATTACATATGAAATGAATTTGAAATGCAGTGTTAAATTGAACATGAAAATTGCATAATTGATTCATACTGTTCAAGTAACATGCTTTATGAACCATCAAGCTAAAAGACAATATTGATTGAGTTCAAAGCTGAGTTGTGAGTTGATGGAGTTGTCACACTTGTCACATGGTTGGAATAAAGTACTCACATGCGAGATAGATTGTTTTGTTATACATAACCCATCTCAACGAAATTAATCCAAATAATGTACCCATAACAATGTTCAATTAATGTACCCACAACAATGTTTAATTGATTTATTGTTTAATTTTCAATTTGAATTATTTGATTTAATAATTTCATTTGCACAAAAAATTATTTGATTGTTTTGATATTTTATAAAATAATATTTAGAATTTTTAATTTAATAATAATATATATCGTAACGTAAAAAATAAATCATTATACGCCTATAATTACTAAATTAATATCTTAAAACTCACTCAAAAGATAACCTTAAATTAATGTTTTCCACAGTGAAAAAAGTATGGACACTTTTATAAAAAGGATAGACACTTTACAATATAACCACTACCTATTACATTATATAAACGATACCTATTACATTATATAAGGGCTACCTATTACATCATATGTTTACCTATTATATTGAAAGTGTCCATACTTTTTATAAAAAGGATCGATACTTTTTTTTAAAACTTATGTAATTTATGTTTCAATTTTTTTAACAGTGTTTCATGTTTTCCACCTACAATATTGATTTAATAATTTCATTTGCACAAAAAATTATTTGATTGTTTTTATATTTTATAAAATATTATTTAGAATTTTTAATTTAATAATAATATATACCGTAACGTAAAAAATAAATCATTAGACGCCTATAATTACTAAATTAATATCTTAAAACTCACTCAAAAGATAACCTTAAATTAATGTTTTCCACAGTGAAAAAAGTATGGACACTTTTATAAAAAGGATAGACACTTTACAATATAACCACTACCTATTACATTATATAAACGATACCTATTACATTATATAAGGGCTACCTATTACATCATATGTTTACCTATTATATTGAAAGTGTCCATACTTTTTATAAAAAGGATCGATACTTTTTTTAAAACTTATGTAATTTATGTTTCAATTTTTTTAACAGTGTTTCATGTTTTCCACCTACAATATTGATTTAATAATTTCATTTGCACAAAAAATTATTTGATTGTTTTTATATTTTATAAAATATTATTTAGAATTTTTAATTTAATAATAATATATATCGTAACGTAAGAAATAAATCATTAGACGCCTATAATTACTAAATTAATATCTTAAAACTCACTCAAAGGATAACCTTAAATTAATGTTTTCCACAGTGAAAAAAGTATGGACACTTTTATAAAAAGGATAGACACTTTACAATATAACCACTACCTATTACATTATATAAACGATACCTATTACATTATATAAGGGGTACCTATTACATCATATGTTTACCTATTATATTGAAAGTGTCCATACTTTTTATAAAAAGGATCGATACTTTTTTTAAAACTTATGTAATTTATGTTTCAATTTTTTTAACAGTGTACTGCGAATTTAAAATGATAATATACTTGTAGTTATTGTACATACCTAAATATGTACTGCGAATTTAATGTTGTACCCACCCTTTAACTACCACTACCAATGCCACATCCTATTGAAAGCAGCACGACAGAAACATGTTCAAAATGAACCTTCGTTTACATATCCATCAACTCCTGGAGCACTGAACTTGCACAACAAAATTTTTGCCATGGATAATACTGATGTAGACAATGTTAAGCCAACCGAGGAATGCCATGAAGTACATAATGTTGATGAATCTGACAGATTGGTTGGTCAGCTCTTCTGTTCACGTGATCAAGCTTGGCACTTTTACAAGGGATTCGCACGGGAACATGGGTTTAGTGCACGTAAGGGAACAACACGGCTTGACGTGGAAGGGAATGTGAAGACACAAGAATTTTGTTGTTCCAAAGAAGGGTTTCGAGTATCAAAAGTCAATACTGTTGATCGTCAACGTGCTCATACGCCAGTCACAAGAACAGGATGTAAGGCTAGAGTCGTAGTTACAGCAACAAATACAAACGATCAGTGGGTTATAAGTAAGTCTGATCAGAAACATAATCATGCATTGTGCACATCTGCTATGACACCATTTATGCGTTCTAATCGAGCTGTAAGTAAGGCTGATATCGATGAGGCAACAACATTGAAAGAGGTCGGTGTTGGCACGTCACAAGTAATGAACTATTTAACGCAGCAGGCAGGGGCTATCATAATGTTGGATTTACACATAAAGACCTCTACAATGCACTTCAAAGAG